CAGCATCCTGCTTGATGTGCTCAATGCAGAGAGTGGAATCTGCCTCTCACAAGCAGTAGATATTAGCAATTAGCGAGAGCAAGAGTACTTAATAGTTGCAGTCGGTTGTACTAATTTCCAGTACGTTTGAGTCGGAGTAGTATCTGAATTCAGCACATTTGACAGTTTGCCACTTGCAATCAATATTACTGACGCAGAAAATCGGCGTCGAGTGGAAAGATGCACTCTTTCATCAAGTTCGCTTTGTAATTTACACAAACGAAGATGTGTATGACGACGCAATGCTTCCGTGGTAATGGCGTTTGACCTGTCACGCAATGCTTGATTTTGGAAACCCGGTCAGTATAAATTAATCACCCATTGGTCTCTTGTCGTCACGTTTTGATATTTCTTTGTGAGACAATCAAAATTTGAAGTCTCTTGGTCTACTCCTCGCTCTCAGAACTGTGCGAGTGAACTGACTTATCCATGTCACATGATGATCTCATCTGTACTTTTGGTACTAATTGAACCAGCTCGGTGATTCCACCGTTAAAGTTGTCGGTACACAGCCCCTCGAGATAGCTCTTTGAGCTCGATGATAGTCTTTGTCATGTTTCTTAAAAAGTCAAACAGCTTATAGGTTTATCCCAGTCTTTTCACTTCCTAGTAGATAAACTTGATCGCAGCAAACCTATAAGAAACTCCAATGCTTTGCACGATAAGCATAACTTGGTGTTGTACACTCAGTTGTACTTTTTAACTGTGGCAAAAATGAACCATCTTTCAGTAGCGGTAAAGCATGCCTCTTCTACTCGCGACTTGCAGCTCCCTGTCTTTACAAAAAATCGCCCTAGAGACCACGGCATTATACCGCTCCGACTTGTCTTTGAAGTGCCAATTCACTGTGACGACAGTACACAATTCCTCTTTTGACTTTGTTATGTAGAGGATTCATCTCAAAGCAAAAAATCTAATTAAGTAGGGGTAAACGCTAGAGACGCCAACATATGATTGAGAATTCTCGCAACATTAGAGATTCATTGCACCGGCATTCGGAAATTGGCTCATAGATCATAGCGATTTCGCTACTGGTAATCATTTTCCCTGCATCTAGGCCAATGCAGATTTGTGTCCACCCCAACAATGAACTCTTTCGCAAAAGTGGGTTAACGTCTTACCGTAGCTCCGACAGTAAAGAAGTCGCGGTATCGAATGTCTTCGGCATACCGTACCTCTAGTGTGTTGGTCGTAACTCGGATAAGACCAACCTTAACACCTGGTTTAGGTCCAAACAGCGTCATGATAAAAGTCTGAGAAGGACCAATGAATTTTGACACCATAACGCGAATTTCCGTCGCGAGGCACTGTATGTGATATCAGCACTAATTATCCTCAATATGTGGCGTAATTTTACTTTGGGTTAGTCGCTCGTCGCACGGAATTGTACAACGTCCCATGGCACCACAAAGTATGGAACGATACTAAACATTCTGAAATTGCGAGCACCAAGAGGGCGGTATCCCATTGACCTCTATCCCTACCAGGAACACCAAAACTCAAATCTATCGTAAAAGGTATAGAGGGGTCTACTAGGACTCGACAAATATCTTCGCCACGTTTTGTCCTTATAACTTGCACCTTTCATTTTCCTCAACCAAGAGATTAGTGGTGGCGGTTTGGTACTCACATAGTTGCGTTTACCACGGTGCTGCCCTGAAGCTAAACGATCACTTATTCTGGTTGCGACCAATCGTTTTTGTCACACAATAGCCTCAACATCCCAGCTACAATCTCCACGTGTGGTTCGGATGTAACGGGGTTACACGTACCCTTGTATGAAAGGGCGGGTTGCACAGGATGGTGCGATCGGAATACACAATTAGTAAAATCACACAGTGGTGTTGCTACACCGTAACAAGAAACCACCACGCGGCAGGATTGCCAGTAGGTATTACGTAAAAAATAAGGAAACCCTAGGGTTTCAGATATTGGCGGCTCTGCCGGAACTAAAATAATTATTTACAGTATCAGTTCTCAACGGAAGAGTCCACTTATTTGGTTAAGGTTTAAAATACTATTGGGGGCAGCGTATTGTGATCCCCTGCACTCATACTGGTTCTTGGAAAGAACGTAAGGTCGGTGACCTTAGCTCAGCTTCCGCTAAGCAAACAGATCCGCTGATTCGGATGTCGTTTAGTAATTACTGCGGCATCAGTCGGATCGTTGAAAGACATCGGGCGAACACAAAGATCGTGGTGCAAGTCGTACTTTAACCGGAACCTGATAATCGCTACTGCTTTGGAGGAGGATCAGCTGCAATACCATTCGCAACTTCTAGACAAAATCCGCCAATTTACTTTTCCTTAAGAGCAGCTGAGTGCCTAGTAAGCCGGATTGGCAAAGACTTGCGGCGTCTGTCACTTCACAATACCAATGACTTCTCTGATTCGGTTTTGAGCATTTCTGTCCGTTCTCGTGCGCTGCCTTTTAGATGAAAGAGCTAGCACGACGAGCTGGGTTCCTTTCCGGAGCAGATCTGAATCTTACGCGATCTCCACGTCTCGTACTCAAAGGAGAAATCGCTCCGTCCTGGCCCTTGTAGAGCTTGACGATCAGTGAAGGCAGCCTCACTCTGTCAGATATATGTATTTCCAAATACTTTGCGTTGGGACGTTCTTAACTTTCTTACTGACTCATGTTAGATAGCTGGCGAACGCCTCCATGCGAGCATTAATCGCTTCTGAGTCTGTGGCCGCCAATCGCACTATTTCTTTGGGTCCAACTGAAGATAAGAGTTTGCCAAGCATGTCTTGTCGACCCGGGAACAGATGCGTGATCACAGCATGTTCCATGCTCACAGAAGAGCCAGTTATAATCAGGCTCTCACGACCACGGCAAGTGCAATCAAGTGGAACATCGTGTCATACGACAGCTCATATAATAGCGACTCAAGTGAACTCGCACGTAAGATTTATAACGCTGAGAGTCCGCGCTAGTGAACGCACGAAGGGTGGGTTCACCGTGCGCCAAATCAAAGATTTGGCACACACACAAATGAAAGAGGAGATTAAAAATGATATTAAATGTACGCTTCACAAATTGTAGTAAGTAGAAACCTGTTCAACACATACCATAAGGTTAGACATCTCCATCATGGAGTAGTATCACTGAACCGAGTATTAAACGGAATACATCATGTTCGTACCTTGCTATAATACTAACAAAAACTGCATTTATTGGTCTGTCTCAAACTAAAGTCTCCTCAGATTCCATTGATCGCCGTCACGCAAATTAAGCTTACAAAGTGGTAACAACGATGGTGATGACTAATAAGACACAACATGTGTATCCATTTCATTGGGACGTCGTCACACGTGCCTTTTGGAACAAGTATCCGAACAAGAGTCTCGCGCACGTGGAGCGTGTGGATGTTTTGGACCGATTTTTGGACGATCATGGCCGTCTAGTGACTACGCGGTTAGCGAAGGTGACACAAATGAATGTCCCTGGCTGGGTGCGCTCTGCTCTTGGGGACTCTACTTATGTCTTTGAAGAAACGTTATGCGATCCGCAGCGCAAGGAACTGGTGCTTAAGTCTACAAATCTTTCATTGCGATCCGTTGCTATTGTTGAGGAGACGTGTGTGTACTCAGTATACCAGCACGACGCACAAAAGACTTTGTATGAAGCCGAGGCAAAAGTCACAGCCTTTGTGCCTTTTTTAAGCAAGCAACTTGAGAAATTCTCAATAAACCGTGGTGCTGATACGGCAGCCAAAGGTATTCGAGCAGTTGAGGAGATCTGCAATGATATTTTTCAGGGCACATTCCAACCAGCTTGTTGCGATATTGCAAACGCGGCTAAGGATTCAAGTACAGTCAATGGCTAAAAACGAGGAGCAGCTCAATGTGCAAAAATTATGTAGAGAATTGAGCATTTCAAGAGAAGGTGGTTTATTCACGACAGAATGTCGAAAACACGATAGTGTTATCTAAACCACACATGTGAAATGGTACGTCGATAGCTAGTAGTCCTCTGATGGAGGTTAGAAGCAAGTCGATTGATTTAAATGCTTGTAGATGGGCTGTGCGGCTCTCGCAGAGTCGATTGTTTACAGTAGAATCATATTTTTATTGATCAATACTCTAACTATACAGCTACCCCTGGAACACCTTATGTTGATACTCGTACTGCGTCCACGCTTGACGAATTCGATCCCTCGCTATTAGTATCGGAGGACATCGGTAGCTCCGTTGAAACAACAAGATCAAGTAACTCGTTAGTCAGCGGCACTACTAACTCAGAAGTCCCTGCTTGAACGCTCTGCACTGGCGTGTGTCCAGCAAATTTATCCGAGTCGGTCATTTGAAGCAAAGATGCAGGCTCCGACGCGTTTTCTGCATCCACTGGTGGAGATGCTGTTGAATGGGCGGACGATGCGTCAAGCTCTGCTGACAGTCTTTCTACAAGAACAAGATCTTCGGAATTCTGATTCGCATTTTTTACATCTGACGCAGCTTCTGGTGGCTCGTAGGATTTTGCTTTCGGTTCAGCGGCGTTTTCACCTGTTATTTGTTCAGCTTCCGTAGTAGAAGAAATCCTATCATACTTTGTACTTTTGACCTCCATGACATGTGCTTCGAGGCGTTTATTTACCAGATCAGTCAAAGCAGCAGTGAGATCATCGGCGGAAACAGTAGTTGAAGCAGTTAAAATCTCTCGCAAGGACTCAAGACACTCAGGATGATCTCGACACAATTGCTGATTATGAAAAACGATCTCACAGAACACCACGCGAACGTTCGAAACAGGATCCAAAGCCAATGTGAAAAATGTGACTGCAAGCTTAAGAAGAAAAAAATCGCGAGCTTCCTCAAGCAAATTGGCGTCCTTCGTGGTTTCGCCACAATTTTGATCTCGAAAATTTGTTGACAAAAAAGACGCACAAACCTTTGCATAGCATTGTCTATCCTGATAATGAGAAGATTTAGCAAGCGTAACAAACTTGTCGACGACACAATCCAGCCACTCTGGATTTGAGCTCAGACGAGCTACTAGCAATGGACATGCCTGTAGATCGCACACACATTGCATTAATAGCGTAAGTGGGCCGCGATTCCCGTACGATAACATTATGATAGTCTAGCCACGTACATGATAGCTCTGTTCTCGGACAACGTAGACCGGATCAGTTATAAGCTTTTGTATCAGTGGATTTATCACTGAAAATGTCGCCCCCGGTGTAAAAGTACGACATAATCGAGCTAGCTGACCACTCAGCACTTCACGAAATCTCCATTTTGTGATGTCATTGTCTGAAATAAATTCTTCAAGCACAGGTAAATAACTTTCACGAAACGATGGCGATACATTTTCCAGAAAATCGGCAAAGTGCAGCATTGCACCAAGCCGCACATCCTGAACGTCACGAAGATAACTGTCGAATGCTGTAGCTAACTGTGTTTCAGTAATGCCTTGGCCGAGTATCCGTGCCATTTCGTGTAAAGAGTAAGCAAACGATCGCCGAATTTTCCAATAAGTATCATTGTGGAGCAATTCAAACGTTGGAGAGAGTTTTAACCAGCCGCTGACACCAAGTATACTCACTAAGGCTGGAAAATTAAATGCACAATGAAATTTGATGTCCACTTCACCACTTCCACCCAACTTTGAAGCTGCTGTTGTTGCCATGCTCGTAAAGTGACCAACTAATTCATCTGTGATCTGATCATATGGCAGTGCTACCAAAAATGGTCCCAAACTTTGGTACGCTGCCATGCGAACCCATCTTGATGAATCATTAATGAAACTTTCAAGTAATGGAATCAACAGTGGCCCTCTATCAACCGGTGCTAGCGCCAGTGCAACATTAACGAAACACTCAGCACACGCCTTGCGTACGCCCCAAATATCGTCTTTTGCCAATCGTAAGAAAACCGGAATGAGCCTCTCTCGACTCATTTCAACTCCAGCCGTCTTACATACATTTGGAAAACTCAACGCTGTGGATTTTCTAACTCGAAACACGGGGTCTTCAGAAAGTGAAATTAACTCTGGAACACAAAATTGTTGACACAATTCCGATCCAAAATGCTCGGCCAGTCCATTGTATAGTGATACGGCAGAAATTCGAAACTGTTCGTTGTCATCATCATGTGCTAATGGTAACACAATGGTCAGCACATGTTGTCCTTGATCTTCTTGCTTTATTAACGCTGCCATCTCGACTAGGCTCTCACTTGCTGCAGAGCGCACTTCATGTTGATCGTCTGATACAAGCTTACTGACTAATGGAATTAATTTCTCTAGCAACAAGTTGTACCCAACGTCAACATTTGCCTCGACCAAAAACTGGCAAAGCAAAGGAAATTGTAGCGCTACATGTTGACGCACAACGTATTCAACATCGCAGACTAAAGGCTCTAATAAAGGCAACAATTGATCGCATGTGGCTTGAAATCCGACAGACAATGCCGTCTCATGCAGCATCTTGACGTGGATAACGCGCTGAAGTGCAATGTTGCTGCATACATACTTGGTGACACGCTGCAAGTCAGTCAGACTATCATCAATCGCCAAGTCTTCAAAGGTCGGACCATTCGACTCGCTTGGTCTGAGCCCTTCGTCGCTCTAAAATGATATAAATTTGTTTCTGCAACCTAAACTCGCTGAGTAAATAATTTGAAGTACGTACCAGTGCAAAATTCATCAGCGCTACAACTTCAGCTTAGCTGTGACTTGAGGATTCTGTCTACAAGGATTATGGTTGTAGTGTCTTCCGCTAGTCCGAGGCAGAAAGCCACGCACGTGACTCTGGAAGCGTAAGAAACTGCGCTACGGTCGTTGTTCCCCCCTCGGAAATATCCGAGGTAGTGGCACCACTGTGAATGTCGTTTGAAAGTGAAAAATGTATTTATAGCATTCAGGCAAATTTTACCATCTGTTTTTGTACAATTTATTTCGTACGCAATATGACTTGTAAAATTGTGTGATGTCAGAAACAAATCTCACCATAATGCACACAAATTTTTGTGATGACCCCCCCAATTTTAACATAGATGCATAATTAAACGATCCTGTCTTTTTTTAATCCGCCAGGCGCTTCAGTATCGTGAGCATGTGGTATACGAAATTCAGATGACACATGTTGGAAATAAGTACTAGAATACATATATTTAACGAGATTACGAATATCTGAACAAGTGCACCTTTTTCTAAATTCGGTGGAGATTCAAGCCGTTGGCTGCGTACTTTGTGAAGTCGTGGAACGTCTTGATTTTCTCAGGAGCGCTGAGGAAGTATGTGACGGGTCACACGGCACCTTGCACAGAGGAAGCTTGACTTCCAAGAGTATACAAACTCTAAGTGAACAGCAGATCACAGATCCTTGGTCACAGGAACGTTAACCAAATTTAGGTAGTTTAAAGACTGAATATATTTATAGGTGTTCCTTTAATACTTTCTCAGCTCCCTTGACGGGTCACTCTCTATTACATGACTCTCAAGCCATGTACCCATCTAGTAACTGTGGTGTATGCCACACCACAGCTCCCTTGGGAGAGTGACGGGTCACTCTCATGTAACCCGTCAAAGTACGAATGTCAAAAACAGAGGGCTGTACGCTGACGCAATGAAGATGCCAAACACGGATGCAATATTCGTGCATCTTGCGACAAGGACACTGGCGAAAATGGCAAGAAGTATATTTAATCTTCAGGTAAAGTTTGGGGACTTTAAGAGCGTGTAATGTTGTTTGGTCTTGGACCTTGATTTAAGAAACGATTTATTTCAAGCATGACATGGCTGGAAAGGCACAATTCATGAGCGACTGGAGGTCGAAAAAGGTAAGTCCCGCGCACTTCTCTACTGGTGAAGCAATGGCGAGTGATAAATCCAGCTCTATCAGAAAACAGAAGCGCTTTTTGCGTGGGGTTTGGAGCACGCAACTTCCGTACAGATTGTGGGACCCTTCAAAATTTGATAGCAATGGTATTGCGTTGGGCTTCAAGCAAGGCTCGAAAGATAGAAGTGGTAAAAAGCTGAGATCTTAGTATGAAATAGGGTAGAGGTTATTGTACTTTAAAGTCTCTACAATATATATCTGAAACGACGAGAAAATATATGTGTATAGTTTACTCTCTCTCTGGCGGGACGTTTAATATTAGCTGTGAGTCTGAGCCGTTGTCGCTTGTGCAGGGACGGTGGGGAGTAGACGCGACTGAGTACCGCAATTCCCACTGCTGGAGCTGGCGATGTTAAAGAGAGAATACAATTTGCAAGTAGAGAGAATGGGCTATAAAGATAATAAGGATGTTATATCCTTAACGTGATGAGACGGTAATGCTGGTCCTGCACTACCGTGTGATGGAGCAGTGAAGCACCACGGGTAAGTAGCGAAAAGATTATTTACTCGTGACTGGAGTGACCAGCGCAAACCTAGGGATTGTTACTCGTCCCTCATAGTCTTCAGCAGAAGTTTGCTCAAATAGAATCTTTATTCCTTATGGGTCTGTGCAAACAGTTGCAAGACAACAGATGCGGTTTTACCGGACGAGGAGCGGGGCTCGTCATTCATCAGTACAGTTTTGTCAGTGGAGTTATTCGCAAGTATTAGAAAGTGAGGTGTGGGGCATCTTCCCTCGATAACCGTTTCTATCCTTGGTTAAGTATGTATTACGATAAAGAGACGAGAGATACAATACGCGTGTCACCTCCGGAAAGAGGAGTGCAACATGAAATTGCCTTTGATATCGGAGCTAATGATTGCTTTACGCATCAATAGTCATTTTCAAGATATAATTTGACGTCATAAACGCATTTTTTCGTATAATAATCGAAGTGAGTTTGTTGAGAAAAGGTGAAACCTCACTCGTAGCCATTTTTGATCACAAAAAGGCTAATAGCAAGTGGGAAATTTTGCATGCGAAAATAAACTTCATGCAGCGCTTATTCTGCCCCAGACTCCAAATTTTAAAATGAGGTACTGTAAAAAGATAGTTAGCTGCGCTTTGTTCAATGCCCTCGACCTAGCTGACGTCGATATCTATCATCTGATGTGAAACAGCGGTATTCTTTTGATGGTTCTCGAGCGGGCTTTGGAAGTAGTTAGTTATGCTACAAAGACTGCTTCATGCACCATCGACGTCCAAACGTCTGGTGACACAGGTACTTCGACCGCATCTTGGCTATGCACACGCCTTCTCAACAATGTATACGTCTATGGTCGTGGAGAATGATGTGGAAACTACACAAAACACTTGCTAGCATGTATATCCGCTTAAACAGAATTTACCACTAGCTTCATGTGTAACTTGGCGCCGACGGAATCTCTTTTTTAGTTTCTTTATTGGGAGACACGGCCAACGAGTAGACCCAGCGAAAGTAAAAGATATCGTACATTTGACAGTGCTTCCGTTCCAAAAAGACTTGAGGCACAAGTACAGTGCAAACTATGCCGACATGGTACGACTTCACCAATCGCCCATAAAAGAATGTTAAATGATACCGGGGTGTGAAGGAAGAGGCGGCCGATAAGACTGCGAAAGATAGCCTCACGCTTGCACAGTTCTGGCCCTTTTAAATTCAAATTGACAACTCCAAGTCCTCTGTGACGCCTTCTCCTTCGGAACAAGCTGCACTTTGATCCAGACAGATGTGAATGGACGTGATCGCAACTAGCTGAGAGCCGCGACAATAAGTTACGCTTTATAAAAGAAATAGCTACTTGAAATAAAGTGTACTTTGTCAAACCTTGGGCTCACCCCTTTCGTTCTAAGCCGAAAGTGATCCAAATCGAAAATTTGTTGCGCACAGCGACGTCGTCACCAGATCTCTAAGAACGCAAAATTTGTATCACTCCTTGCCACGTAAATCTTTGGCATAAGGTATAAGCTGGTCGGCTGACTTTAGTTGCGAATGCGCTATCGTGTCGTCTTGACTATGGGGTATTGCATGATCATGATTTAGTGATGACGTCGCCAATGGAAAGGAAACACGTATGGCGAACAGTTCAGACGCAACGCTTGTTGCGGCCCTTGAATGCAATGAGAATCCCGGAATTTAAAAAATCAGGTGTCACTCTATCGAGGCGTGCGATGGAACGCCAGCACCACTATTTTTATTCTTAAGCTTGATGTATTACAGCATTAATACGCATGACGCGTTGCGTGTGATGGCGTCTCATAATAAGGGACAACTAGCATAGAGATCGTATGAGGCACATGATCCCTCTTTACGTGGCTATCATGAAACTGCTATATATATTGGTGGTCCAACAACGATAAGTGGATAAGCACATATGTGCGCGCGTGTGGAGCGTGTCGGCAAATTTAACCTTTGCTGCATGCGGCCACCTTTGTTCAGCCCGCTTATTCCAGCGAATTGCTGGTCGCCCAACAGTACGAACTTGTTTGGGTATTTCAAAAGTCGTGTTTGGTAATATCGTTGTTGTGGCCGCTGTGAACCGGCTGAGAAAGATATCTCATTTCACTTCTGTTAGCGATAATGTGATTGGTGAGAATCCAGTTAAGTTAGATCGTTGCGCCAACGCTTGTCGGTCAGCAATTGTTTCAATAGACATCTGCACTTGACAGCGAAGCTCCTGTAAACGTGCTCGGCACCAGATTAAATATGTCAACCGCTGATCATTTGCAAACAGATGGTCAGATGGATATTCTAAATTGTATCATAGAGTTTGTTCCTCGGAGTACTTGCGCAAACCACGAAGCGGCTCCATCGTAGTCAAGGACTGTCGATAAAAGTCGGCTTGCTGCTATCACTAAGAACACAATTCGTATAAATACTATGAAGACAGTCAAAATCGAAGAGCACTTATGCGGACAAAGCATCGAATCGACCACTCAAGAGCAAATCCAGAATGTCTCATTTCATTCCTGGACGCACGGCATGACTTCCCGAGCAAGTCGACGTGCCACCACAGCAGAAATATCCAACGAAAGCTCACGAGAATCAGCCATTGGGAGGTCGACCTCCGCCGGCATTGCTCGGTGAGCATTGGGTGACCTTCCCCATGTGGAACGTTTGGTATGCCGGCAGGTGCTCTAAATCTATGATTGAAACCCAGCGAAGCGAAATGTCACACACAGTCCGAAAATTGTAGAAGTTTGGGGTCCTCCTTGAAAAAATTGCCCTGATGCCCGTGACAGATTACAACCTAGTGCACCCCCACGCTTTTAACCACGTGAAGAGGTGACAGGTTTACCCGTAGCAGCGCACTTGCCCTAGTCAAATGTGACCAACTTTGCGTTGGGAAGACCCTATATTGGTGGATGTCACAGCTGTCTCATAGTGACGTAAAGGATTTGAACAGTAGACTTTTGAGCTGTTGGGGTGTTGACGTCCACGTCGTGCTTTGTACTTTGCATAATCAAGCATGAGACAAAGGTCTAAGGCGAACGTCCACTTTACTGAAGCTGTCTACATTAGTAGCCAGCTTAAAGCCAGGATAGTGTATCTTTTCCTTACGCAGCGCGTGAGCTGGGTTATAAATTCAGCAGCACTCCCGCCAAGCTTCTAGACCCCAAATTTCTCTCATCGTGAACGGAACGGGCTTGTCCATTTGCTGCTCTCACCAGCAGCAACAATTCTCATGGGGATGACTATTTAAGGTTTGAGAAGCGCGCGTGGAACAACTTTCTCGCGCTGTTTTCTCTCAGTGGTAGCGGAAGACCCACACGCATAGACGTGTAG